CGGAAGTCATATTCCAAGATGCAGTCGCTGCCATGCTTACTTCTTTATTGCTTCTGTCTTTTTTTTCACGACTGTTTGCTGCATTAGAAACGAAGACCTGTCAAAGCACTATGGACATGGGGTATGTGCTTCTGAATCAATGGTTAAGCATCTGAAAAGAGATGAAGTTTAAGAAAATAAACCTTCCTGTAATTCAGAACCCAGCAATTATGACCACGATAGTCTTTATGTTCTGGATTTGTAGAATTTTGGATAACTTTATTCCTGACTTGTTTGTGCCTTTTTTCTAAGGCAAAATTTGTCAGGTGAATAACACATGGAGAACTTTTTTATTCTTCAGCTGCGCAGACGAGCTGCGAGATAAACGGATGTGTAGCTAAAGCAGTAGGAGAAATGGCAGTAGAAAAAGATAGATGCAGACAATGGTGACTGTAAACTAACGTCCTAAGGACGGTTTATAGGAATTAGAGATGATCTGGGTCCATGTCAATAACCCAGAATCTGCTAGATGTCTCTCTATTCATACCCTATTTTAAAAACTGAACTGTTAAATAAAGTCCCAGTGTTTTGGGAATATGAATGATTGGGAGGTGAAAGAACTGCTAAACGTAGAAGAAACAAGCATAGGAGGTAGTAATTATCATTCTTTCCTATCTTAAAAATTTCTGCATGTACTGGGGACTTATATTAACTTCAAGATATCATTGGGCAGTTCTCCAAATGTTGAGAAGTAGTCTATATAGATGAAAATTTCACTTTGATTTGGGGCAGAAGGATGAGGTCACTGAGAATTTAAATATCTTATACGGTGTGGGGTAACATCAAAGTAGAATTGAAGAATGTCTCGGTAGTTGGGGCACTTTCTAAAGGCTGATGAGACAATGGCCGAGATCTGCTTAGGGGAGAAAACTGAATGGGAGTCTATCATATGATTTTGTTTGAATGTAAGTCTTTGAGTCCCAAGTGTTTGAACAGAAACTTTCTATTGAATTTTACACAAACTTTTTATAGGTTTTAGTTTTCACAGGAAAAGCTTTCCTACTGTATATCTTAGTATCTCCTAATATTTCTCAGTATAAGAAGTATATTTACTTACCCTCCTATGAGCTTCTGTGGATAGGAAAGTGCTATTTATCCCTGTTTTACAGCTGAGAACTTCAATATTCTGTGATTTATCAAAGGTCACCTTCAGAACTTTTGTGAGAGCAAACCTTCTAAGTTCTGGTCAGAGCTCTTAATGTTGGACTAGCCTTTCTTGAAAACAAACACTCCATTTCTATTTACAAATCTGCTGTCACCAGTGCAATGAGTTAATTTCAAATTCTGTAGATAACCTTAATATCTTATCAAGATGTAATGTTCAAGTAACTTCTTATTTAGGAATTGACAGACAAAAAATGTTTTCCATAAATGAGTTGGCAAATACTGTGATTAAAATAATATCAATCAGGCCGGAAGAAAAGATGTTCTTGCTGGTGAATAGTTTACCAACAGAATGATTTTGTTATGTGCATGCTTCAGATGTGCATAACAGACAGAAGCAACTGTTCCTTATTTTGAAGACTAGCTGTGCCTATGTGCTCAAATGGTGTCACTTGTATTTCAGCAAAACGGGAATTGTTCTGGTACACAGAGCTGTTTTTCAGATTAGCACTTAAGGATTACGATGCTTTGGAAACACAGATGATGTTAAAACAATGGAAATACTTTCATTTTTACAGCATCTTTTTGCTGGTGGTCTCAAACACCTGTTAAGACAGTAACATTATATAGAAAGACTGCAATATAGAAAGTAGAAGAATGACTTGACTCTGTTTGGCTCCATTAATTTTGTTCTTTTTTGGTTTCATTTGTTATTGCTTTTGGACTGATTTAATTCCTTCAATAACAACTAATATTTCTAACACACCTACTGCGGTAGTTCTAAAAATATTTCTAAAAAGTGTTATTACCAGAAGGATTCTCTGATACCTGTGGAAGATGTGAGTGTCACTTCTCCATTATGCCACTTCCTCTCTGCAGTTGTTTTACTGAAAATAATTTCTGAGGGAAACCGTTAAAAGCAGGGAAACTTTCATCCTAGATTAATATGTTCTTTAATCACTGTTCTTAGCCAAATGAAAATTATTCTAACTGTAGATTTCTTCAACATCTGTCAACAGATTGCAAAGTACTGAAGTTATTTCACAGTGTTACCTAAAATTTGACAAGAGTAAGAATCTTGCAGTACCAACAGCAGTTATATATACTATTTTCAATGCCCTGTGTTTTTTGAAGAACATACCAGATTACTGAGCAGTGTATTTCCTTGCCTGATGTTCTGCTGGATTAGAAAGATATGACACAAGTTATTCTAGAAACCTTAGGCTCCCTGTCTGGACCACATTATCTGCCACATCTAATAGGAGAAGCTCCATCGATCCTGAGGTCACAGCCAATTAGACAACATTGTCTCAAGGGAAAATGTGTATCTTTGTTGTCCATTCTCTTATCCTGGAATGATTTGCTAATTGTACAAACCATGAGTCTTGTCTGTATTCTTTTCTCTCTCCCCTCGAGGTTCACTGAAGTATAATTGTATGCAAAGTGATGGAAAGATTGTTTGTTGAAGCCGTGTTTGTAATCTCAGAATGTAAAGACTTACCTTTCAAGTTAAAAGTGTCCTTACATACTGGAAATGAAATAACTTAGTTTGAGAAGCTAGTGTAACCAAATCCACCTGGTTTAGGAGCCAGAACAAGTGTGTACTGATGTTTGGGTAGAATCACCTGACAGGCAGCCTAGGCTCCTCAGAGGAGCAGGAAGAGTTTGGACAATCAAAAAGAATTTTTTTTCCACCCCCCCCCCAAAAAAAAAACCCCACCCACCCAAGCCAAAAAGCAACCAACAAACAAACCAACTACCCACCCAGCCCCACATCACCCTCCAAAAAAAACCCCCCAAAACCAAAAGACATTAACATTTTCTGTGTGAAAATGATGCTTTGGGTAAACTTCCCATCAGGAAAAGTAAATCAAGCCATAATATGTCAATCAAAAATAGCAGCTGCTTTTGACTGAGTCATTGACTCAGTGGCATGAGGCAGAAGTCACAGTGATCAGTTCATGCTGTTGATTCTCTTGGGCCTATGCTGGAAACTGTAGTTAGTAATTTTTATTTCCCACTCTTCCCCAATGGAACTTGAGTCTCTGCTGGATTGTATATCCCATTACATACCATGCTATGTTTCTGTAGTTGAGTGTGTTTCTGTGTCACACAGTCACAGAGTCACACAGTAATGTGCAATCTGAAATGCAGGCTGCCTGCAGAATGTAGGCTATGGAGGATCAGAAGTTAGGATTGTGCAGATGGATGCAGAGATTAATACTGACTCAAAAGTTGGAGATTAATATTGGCTCAAAATTGGAAAGATTTTGTCTTTTGGGATGATTATTTAAAAACCAAAGTTTTGTTCTGCAGAAAGTTTGCTAGTATAACTATTAATTGCCATTCTGAAAAAAACCCAGTATCAGACTATACTACCACAAGGAGATTTCATATTTGATTAAATCAAATTGGAGATAGAAAAGGAAAGAAAATTAATAAAAAGAAAACTCTTCTTCCTTCAGAAAGATAAATTTGTATTCTCTTGAGAGACCCTAGTTTCTCTTTAGCTCTTGCTAACCTCCTTTCTTCTCTATTCTCTTGTCTTGCCAGTGCACTCAGGTGCCTGATCTATAGGCTAGTTTAAGAAATTTCAACGGGAAACGAAGAAAAGTCTCACCTTATTTTCCTCCTGAACTTTTCATTCCTGCCTCAGCAACTTCAGTCACTCACTTATAGCACCTGTGCTTTTGTCTGAACCCAAGGAGCAAAGGGGGCAGGGGGAAGGTAGATAGGTTGGATTTTACCTTTTTTCCACAGAGATTTTCATTTTTTTCTACAGTAAGTGGCTAATTTAATGTTTTGGGTAAAATTCAGGTTGTCTGAGAGAATAATAAAGTCTTATCCATATGCAACTGCAGGTCAGTCAGCTACAGTGTCATCTTTCCCATGCTGCTCAGCTAGTGATTTTGACCTTGGTGTGAATGGATCATTCACTCAAGTGATGAGAGTTAATTTAGTCTTCGTAATAGCCCAGAGCTCAACCTTTTCAGAGCTGCGATTGTTTCAGTGATGCCAAATTATATGCAATCACTGAGTAATATGAACAGTGATCCACTGCTGTGTCTTTGGATGTAGGCCACCAAAATCACTCTTCTCATACTGATAGGAGGCAGGCTACAAATCCACTCAGTGCAGTACATTGCAGAGTGTACAAGCCATTTACTGCATAAATAGTATACTGAGAGAAAGTGAAGTTTTGGGATTTTTAGCCCATTTTTTTGTTCTATAGCTCTTTTCTCCTTTGAGGCAACACCTTGGGTTCCATCTAAGTGGAGCCATTAATCTCCATTAAATTCTTTCTCTTGGGTTCATAAACTTTTATACGTCTATTGTTAGAGCTTCGGGAGAGAGGCACAATTCAAGACAAGCATACAAAAAAATGAGTTATTTTCATCCATCTCGGCAAATTCACACAAGGCGTGAAGTAGGACTTTTTAGTCAAAGGAGACTGGGTGAAAAGAGAAGAATACCAAGGTTTTAATTCATAACAAACCTGTGTTCTGAGCAGGCAGCGTATTTTACAGACTGAGATATTTCGCAGTCGTGTAGCTCAGAGCCTGGGGTTAGGATAGAGGTAGTTCTGTCCTCCAGGGTGCTGAAGTGCAGTCATCTGGCCTGCCCAGGTTCCAGGTCTATATGTTTTGTGTTTTGCCAGGAAGCAGGCAAGCTTTAGCAAGACAGATCTTCAGAAGCAAAACGACAAAGTGTGTGATGTTATTACCACTTCGTAATGATTTTCATATAAATTGCTTCCATAAGATAGTATAGCATTATATATTAGGTAAATAGTATTTGCATTAGGTAGAATATTGGTGTACTTAGAAGAAACTCTGCAACTTTTTTTCAGAAGAAAATCATTGGAATTGCAACAGCATGTGAGAATAAACTACAAAATCAGTCAACACAAATGATTTGATGGATATTGAGACCGTGCTGAGGATGTTGAAATCTTTGAGAATCTAGAAGAATGGTTGGAAATCAACTGAAAGTCTGCAACCACAAGTAGGCACGTGAACCTGTTGTGGCCAAAATGCATCAAAATAGTAATTTTAAACAAAGACATAAGTCTTATGGGGTAAGTAAAATCTGTGAATTTATAAAATTCAAATATAAAATCTAGTGATCTCTAGAGGACATTACACTACTTGCCACTGTATCAGTCTACTGAAGATGTTTGTGTTTAAAATCCTATTTCTTTCATCAGTGCAAACATTCCCCTGTTGGCAAAGGTGCGATTCTGCATGAATTAGCTTAGTATTTTTGGCAGTCTCTGTCAGAAAGATTTGTCTTGCAACCATTTAAAAAGCAGATTTGTGCTTATTATTATTTAACAGCTAGTATAATTTAGAAAGACTGTTCCAGTGTCCCCATCCTCTTCCCTCCCTCCCACCCCCACAAAAAAATCCAAAATTACTTTATTGGTTTTGTTCAGAAGCATCACTTAAAAAAAAAATCTCCAGATGCCTGGGAATAAACCTAATTCTTAGTGACTGCCAGTGGCTTCTAGGGCCATGAAGGCAGGCACTCTGGGCCACCTTTTCAGTGTCACCATTCCCATCAGGATAGGGAATTACATAGCAGTCTGATGAAGGAGGCTGTTCAAGGATCCTGCTTTTCATGTTCCTCTGACACAAAAACGTCTCGTGATCAAGCTGTCAGTCCCCAAAGAGTTGTTGTTTCCCTCCCCTCCCCAGCCCCCGCATTTCCTGTAGTAAACGTGAAGTATATTGTGACTGTTTTGGAAGCAGAATTTAAAAGTATATTTGTGGTACTTTAAACATCTAGTAGCTTTATCACGTGTGCCGTTTCAGACTAGCATTCCAAGTGCAGTATCAGACTAGTGTTTATCTGTTCTGAAATTAAGTTCAGAACCAGCTGAAAAGTGTATTTTTGTTATTAAGGAATAAAATTAAAATTGTAAGAAAACAACACCATTATTAGTTTGCGAAAGTTATTTGCTTTGATTAAAAGCACCAATAAATGTGTCTTGGTTCTATAACTGCTCCATTTAGCACTTGACATATAATAGGTTTTTTTCCCCACAGTGTAATATCTCCATTGAAATATAATTATTTTGCAGATTGCTCAGCTGAATGCCCTTATAAACATGCTGTTAGGGGAACTCACCCCTGGTGATCATCAGAACATCATGACAATGTGCACAATTGATGTACATACAAGGGATGTTGTAGCCATGCTTATAGCACAGAAGGTAATTTGTTGCACAGCAATTACACTAATGCATTTTTAAAAGCATAAAATAAAGAATAATTTCATTTGTTGAAAAGATATTCTGGTGATTTATGTATGGCAATGACAGAATATTTTGATTAAATGCATTTTTTTCCTTTTATATTTTTTGCTTTAGAGTTAGATAATTACATTTACTAGTTAAAGAATTACCATTAAAAAATATATAGATATTTTGTCCAAATATTTAAAGACTTCTGTTAAAAATGTACTCTCTAATGTGACAGCAGGTTTCTCATTAATTTGCCACCAATTACTGATCTGTTCAAAATTAATATAAAACCTCACACTAACTGCAGATAGCTTGAAAGTTTAATATATACAAAATATAAAACAGCAATTGTGTTGTGTTTCCAGATAGCTTTTGGATTTTTTCTATAAATAGGTTTTATTCCTCTATCAATTTCTGAGGTGGAGTCTGTACTGCTAACTCTTTCCATGCCTGACTTCTGCACTGCAAGGGCCTATTTATAGTAATTTGCTGCTCCATCTCCAGACCGTGAGCACTCAGACAGGAAGGAGGTGGTGAGAGACACCATGCAATGTCTGCTTCCTTATGCATGGTTAAGCAGGTGAGAGATAGCTGTTGTATCTTCCATTCCTCCTGCCTGCAACCAGCTGACCTCCAAAAGGGGCACAGAGCCCCCAGTTTGAATGAGCAGCTTCATTCCAGAGTCAGACACCTAGAGCTTTTCTGTTTATTCATGAGGAAGGGAGAAGAGAAAAACTGCGTAGGTATGAAGTGTGTGTGCGTGTAGTGCATATCTATTCATCTGCTCTCTATAGCCTGTCATCCTTCTATGCGTTTGTTGCATTTTAACATGTTTACTCACAGTAAAGTCAACCTTTTGGCAACACATAGCTGCCAAGAGCAAGGATTATCCTGTTTCTCTGCATTTTCAAACACCCTCCCATCACCGGGAGTGACTTATTATGTCATGCTTTTGCTGCAGACCAGACACACCGTATTGAGGTTTCTCAGAAATCCAGTCTTTAAATGACTAAATGGCCTAAATGTATAATTCAAGATGAAGTCCACAATGAATTCATGAAAGTAAAAATTGTTTTACTTGAAAGAGTGAAATAGAAAAAATTCACAGTAAGTTACCATAGTGTGCTGTGAAACCTTCTTGTCCAGGACAAAATGGTCTCTTAGCCATGTTAACTGGTACTCTGTAAAACTGAGGAATAAAAAGCAAAACCAAAAGCGACTCCAACAACAAAAAAATTGCTCAACACTCTTACAGTTGCTGAACAAAATCCATTATACTGAGCGTAATCACTTTGTTGTGGTGTGATGCATAATAGCAGTTGCATCGAAAATTTGCAGCAATTTAAAATATTCTTTTCACTGAAATTGTTTATCCACATTGCCAAAGCCTTTAAGGAAGTACTGATGTTTTTCATATTGTCAGGAGCAGCTGTTTCTATCTGCTGTGGCTGTCTAAGCGCTAACTAGGCAGATGGCACACAGTAGCTGAGGTGTGTCTGTTGTATACAGGACCAACTTTTCTGGCTTATAGGAAGCACAGCTGCCATGCTATTATGATGATGATGATCCTTATGTATTTCAGACATTGGAGGCCTTACATAGAGCTGCATGCTTTGAAGGGGTGATTAGGGTCTTTAATACACTGAATAAGTACTTAAGTAATCAAACTGACAAGCTGTGTGGAAATATGGAATCCCTATTAATGAGAATTTTGGGTAGGGATCCTGAGAGAGGGGGCTCTGTAAAACCCAAATAATATTATTTGTCACAGATACAATCATCTCAATATGGTATAGCATGTAAATATCAGTGCAAAGTACTTTAACAACTACTAGATACAAATATGTTTATGAATGAAGAAGTATGTTTTATGTCATTATCTTTGGTCAGTTATTTAAAGAACATACTGTAGAAAATATTGGACAGTTAATACAAGAGAAGGCCCAAGATTTTTGCCTCAATTGGCAGAAACATGATTCGTAGAATACTGGAATCAGCAACACTTCTTTTCATGTGTCTCACGTATAGTAATTGATATATTAATATCTACTTTTTTCTTCTAAGTAACTCTTTCCTTAACATTCTTGTGTTCTGAGATATAGCATAAGAGAGCTGGAAGGGGTAGTAAGGCATGCTTGGGACTTAGGGAAGCCATGAAATGTTGACCAGATGCTGTATTTCCTGTTGATTTAAGGCATTAGTTCATTAGGCCACTAATCAAAACCATGTGCTCTGCTAACAGACCATTTCATCACCTGAGAGCTGGAGCACGCACATACTGTTCCCAGTTAACTGGGACCTGATCCAAGTCAATGAAGAGTTTCTTGTTGGCATTCAGGGACTGTAGAAGAGGTTGTCTGTGCATGGTTGTCCTTGTTTGTGTTTTCACATGGCTCAGCTAGATATATTTTAGCCAGAAACGTAGACTAAGTGTATCTTCACTCTATCTTGTTAGTGGAGTTTATGTTCCATAAACTATCACAGTTGTTACAGAGTTAAAAAAAATAAAAAAAATTGTAACTAAGGCTGCACCAGGTTGATGTGCATAGGTGTTTGTGTTTCAGAAGCCCCATCGCTAGCCTTTATTTTCTAAAGAAAGGGTTCAAAGCAGACATTGAGCAGACATGGAGAATGATTCATCGCTTTAGCCCTGAGTTGAGAGTTGAGATTACTTGAAATACAGACTGGGCAATATTACCTCAATAGTGCTTATGTTGAAACATGACTGTATGTATAGCAAAATTGTCCAATTTCAAAGCTTACAGCAAGGATTATTCTCCTTGCTCTACATGGCAGTAGAAATGATTTAATAAAATCATATTCTGCAGTACTTTCTAAATAGCTACAGCCCTAAAAACATAAACAAATATAACATGAAATTAGAATTGCAATTGTGAAACTAACTTCTGCTTAATGCAATGCTATCACTCCTAAATATAGTTTTGTAATTTTTGGAAATAGTTCTAAGAACAGTAACTTCCTTGCACATGATAAAAACAGCTGATGAGAAAAGACAGGGAAATTTGATCACTTAGATTTCACCAAATGGAAAGATGGAGATATGATCAATTATCTCTTAGTAAAGCTGTGAGATCAATGTGAGGGAGAGGTGTACAAGAACAAAAAAAGGAGGATGACTTACGGAGTGGAAGGTGGAAAGACAGAGCATCTTGATCAGGAAAGGACAAAAGAAATAGTCCGATTCCTCAGAAGCCAATGGAGGCAGACCTGCAAGCAAAGTACAAGGTGAGCAGTTTACAGCAATAACAAGAAATACTGCAGGGTTAGAGGATCATGCAGAGATGGTCACAGAAGAAAGCAGAAGTACTGCAGTGCTAAGGGAAAAGGTTTTCAGAAAGTCACAGATATCAGAAAGCACGTGGAAGACAATCACAAAGGTGAAGAAGATGAAGATCAAGGGCGGAGAACAGGACTAATGAGCCTGGGAGATTTAGCGCAAGCAAGGAGAAGCACTGGTGCCTGCTAGCACGGGAGATAAAAGAAGAGAGATTGATAAATAGGAGAACAGATTTCTTCAAGCAGGTGAAAAATATCACTGGGTAGGAAGTAATGAAATCTGCTTTGATTGAGGCCAGAAAAATCTGCTGGGGCAAAATGAAAACAGAGAAATAGGTGAGAGTTCTTCAAGAGCATTTACATATGGTAAGAAGACAGAAGAAATTCCTGCTTTATTATATTTGGAGGGAGTGCTGGCATATGCTGTTCCTGGGTAAGATGGCTTTGTGGTTGGAGAGTTGGGGAAGCAGCACTAGGGGTGGAATTATGGAAACACGTAATGAAAGAAGAGGTACACATGATGGAATTTGTTCATGGAGCATCACAATCAAAATTATACTGTTCTGTTTGCCTGTGTTCGGTGTTACACACCTGACTGGGAAACAACAACTTCTGGTAAAATCAAACCAACCAACCAACCAACAAAACCCTTGCAAATTCAACCAGAGTAATTTACCATTTTTTTGAGGAAACTATGTATTGTGACATGAAACATGCTCTGGGCGTGGCTGCTGTTCTTTCTTTGGGTTCAAACTAACAGTGTCTTAGGCTTTTCTCTTTTTTACTGTGTTTCTCAAGCTAAGCAACCAGAAGACTGAGGCAGAAGCACGTAGAATCCATGTGCTATGTATGAATTTTCTCTTTTCTCTTGATTCTGTTTATTCAGTGTAACAAGAAATATGAAGCCAATGACAGCAGTGTTCAGGAAACGCAATTGGTATCCTTTGATAAAATCAGACTGTAGAAATGCACTTTACTCCATAAACCTGTCTTTTGAGATGGAAGAGTGCCATTCCACAGTCATGAAACGTTCTACACTTCCAAGTTACACTGTGTTCTAAAATTTGGTCAAAATGAAAGGTAAGATGACCATAACAGATAGATATTTTCTTTCTTCATATGCATTATTTTGTGTAACAGACCCACCTCAAGTTTAGTAAGCTAAACTCACAGGTATGCATTTTTCAAGAGCTGGGCATTAGCTAGCATTCCTTGACTTCTATAAATCAACTGGAGAAAGAAGAACTTTCATCTGAGGGGCAAGGTATAGTTATGGCCGAGATAACTATTACTGAAAATTTTGTCTTGACCGTAACAGACAAAAGTTCAACAGCCAGTCAAAGCTGGTAGAAGCAGAATGTTCCTGCTTGTGGTTAAAGTCCCTGTCTTTGCAATCAGTCACATTACAATTAGATTGACAGTAGGCACAGACTTGAGATCAAAGCAATTGCAAACACCTAAGAGACTTAATGTCGGTGGCTATGACCAGTTCTTCTATAATATTATGGATATATTTCCTTTTGATATAGTTGCTATGCTTTCAGTGATGATTTTTGTATACTCCTAGCGCTATAAATTTTATCATGTAAGTATTCACTCTAATTTTTATGACGTTCTTTTTTTTGACATGTTCTTTGCTTAAACTAGCTCTGCATTTTTATTTAATGGATGCGAGACTTCATATTTTGCAACTTAAAATGGTTATTTCCTCTGCTAAGAAAAACACATAATAGTCCATCAAGAGGGTTGTTTAATTTTGTTCAAGAATTTTTGAAATGAAAACAGTTAGTAAAAGAAGGTAAATCATCACCTATCAAAGCGGTTCTAATGTTGTCATGACTTACATCAAGCCTGGTAAAATAAGGAAATCAATTATTGCATTGTCTTAAATTCAGAAGTAATACAACTCCCTTCTTACAGTAATACAACACACATAATCTCATGAGGAACACTGGATATATAAATTAAGAGTATACAATTAATCAGACTATTTCCAAATTAATTATGTAAAGAAAAATCTGTAGACAAGGGAAGATTGTATATAACACTACACTTCTCTTTCTGCTAATGATGCACTTTACGTAATTCAGTCTGATTTTAATTTTAAAACAAGGCAAGCTGTCTCCCTAGGGCAGGTTTAGTGATTAATTTTACCAGTATTTTTGGTATCTGAATTATTTTTGTTTATATAAGGCATCACTCTTGTGGCCTGTTTCTCCTGTTGTGTGTATCATGGCGCTCTGCTGTGATCAGTTCCACTTATCTAGCATATTTCAATATATTATATGTAATAGTCTTTAAGGGTCTTTTCCAACCCAAATGCTTCTATGAGTCTATGCTTGTGTGGATATCTGGGGGTTATCCTTCTCATAAAGGCAGTCTACTTTCAAATATCTGTAGAATACTGTGTTTCCAAAGTCAATAAGTCCCTAAAAAGACACAATGGAGCCCTTTTTAGAAAGGTACAGTTCTCACTTAACACCTCACAGTGAATAAATATGTATCCCTTTGTCTATCATCAATCAGAAAGGATGTGATGTGCCATTGGAGTTTTTCTGCTGACAGGGTTGTCCTTCTAACATATATAGCAGCAAAGATACCTGTAATACTTCTTGAAATCTTTGTGAATCAAATTAACTATGTTTAGAACACTCCACAGAAAAGTCTATCTTGGTGTTCTGGGCCCTCATCACTGCAGCTGTCCCTTTTTCTCTTTTACTGTTGCTAGTTTGAAGTATCTGTACAGCTTTGTGCCAAACTGGAGTGTAGGAATGTTTTTATGAACTCAGTTGCATCTCTTTAGATTTGCTTTCTGTTGTGGTACTTTAAGACACTGCAGGATGGGGTTTGGCCAAAGAATAAAGTTAAATTAGAAATAAAGTGATTTTTCAGGCTTATTTTTGTGTTATCCTGTGGCACAGTAACCTCTTTCTGATTTTTTTAAGTGAGATTATTGAATTGGAAATGGTAGATTTTCATAATAGCAAATCCCGGGGAAAAAAAAAAAAAAAGAGATCTTCCAGAAAATATCAAAGCTATTTTGTGATGGATATAAAAAACCCTCTTCTTTCCTCCTGCCACCGCCCACCCCATCCCCCCCTTTTTTATCCCTGGATTATAGCACTAGGTCTTGAAGTAGCTACCACTTATAAAAAATAGACAAAGACTAGAGCTGAAGGTCAAGAAACTGATATGAGGACAGATTGGTAGAAAGATCTGAAACAATTAAAACTATAAGGTATAATGGCATATTCCGTTGCAAAACAGATTACAGAAGACTATGAGGGAGCTAAGAGTATTAAGAATTTGAGCTATATGATACTGTGTGGCAGAGACAAAACTTTTCTTTAACTTAAAAATAATCTGAAAATGTCTTCCCCCTTAAATGTCTGAAATACAAAGGTAAAGGATGGGATAAGATACTGAAACGTTACTGGTTTATTAGAAGATATTTTCTGACTATTGCAGGAGAGATTTACCACACATTTTCCTGTGTGTATATGCTAATTCAGGTTTTAATGCCTTTCTCATTTTATCAAATCATCATTCTAGAAAAGCACATGGGCCTTCTTTTTTAAAAAAAATTGCCTTAGTATAAAATTAGTCTTTTGTGCTTATCAAATTCCAAAACAGTTATGGTCTTTTAATCTCAGACAAGAAAATGTTTATTGATCTGTGAACCAGTAGTGAGGTTTTCTTAATCTTGTCTTGTTTATTGCTAGTATTAACAATTTGTTTCCTGTCATTTGTTTCCTGCATTTTTAAGTCTGAAAATGTCCAAGTTCAAAGGTTACTATAAAACATCCCTATTGCTCATAGATGTCTTACTAATTAATTTGTTGTCACTGATACTTTTGACTGATCTATGGATTAGGCACAAATTCTCATAATCAACAATATAGTGAGAGGATGGTGGCAGTACAGCTCTGTCTCCCATGTTCATGTTTTCTTTCCCCCCTGCGGAGCTTATACAATGGTGATTTCAGACTACTGTGTGAAGTAGCATTGACATCAGAAGAGCTGCAAATTCAAGGAGACTTGTGAGAAAGTTAATCTATCTCTTCACATTGTGTTGTATCTAAATGGGTGCTGGAGGAAAAAAATTAAACTTCCTGGTAATGCTGCTGCTAGGTGAGCATACTGAAGAATTTGGGGGGCAGGGCAGTATCCATTAGAAATGGGCTATAGAGGATTCCCAGCATATTCAGTAGCAAGAATGTGAGAAATACTCTTGGCATTGTACTCGAATGCCAGCAGCAGTAAGAGAGAAAGCAGGCAAGTCATTAGTGTACACTCCTGTATAAGCTCAGGTCTTGATTATCTCTTTCCAGTACCTTCAGAGAGCAGAGGAAAGAAGGCTGCTAAAAGACCTGTCCTTTCTGAGAAAGCTGGGGTGCATAATTATATAGGTTTACCTGGCCTTTTCCAAAGGGACAAATGGCACCACTTCCCCGATCCCTCTCCTTACTAGTCTTTCTGTTCTTCTCTTTTTCCTTAGCTCTCAATTTTTGTAAGTGCAATACTTTTAAAGTCCTTCCTGGTGCAGAGAGTTAAGCATGTCTGGTTGTGTGAGGGGACTGGGTCCCCCTTGCTTCCTGACACTGATAACTTCCTGACATAACTGCAGACAGTGAGAAGATTTTTCTCAGTTTCTTCCTTCTGCACAAAGATTCTTCTAGTCTCAGTGAAATGCAGTGTTCAGTCCTACCAAGCTGTAGTGCCATGTTTTTAGTCTGAGTGCTCAGGGCCAAATTCAAAACAAATATAGTGTATTTGCATTACATTAAGTGCTTATGTTAAGTAATGCAGTAAGATGCATCTCCTTACTAAATAAAGCTGTCCTGCACTCTGTAAGTTTGATTTTGATGAGGCCATTGGCTTTATGACTGCATGAATGCAAGTTTCCTATGCATGTGGCATTTCCTGATGCTCAGATGAGAACATCATGTCAGACATGTTTAATCATAACAGTGTTTATTCCTTTTACTCAGAATGTACCCTCTTCATGACAAATGTATGTAAATGCTGAGATAAAAATAGCATTTGACAAGATAGTTGGGTATGTTTCATTTTATTAACGCATTAGACAACTTATTCTGCTCAAAGTAATGTGTGAATAGTAGATACATATAAGATTAGCATAATTTTTTCAGTCAACATTTGTTCTGTGAGGTTTTTGATTACATTATTTTAATTAAGCAATAAGTCATGACAAGCACAGGATTTCATGGTGAGTATAGCGCTTCTAACAAGGTATTATAAAGCATGTGGGTGAAAGCTGAATGATTGTAACCATTCAAAATGTGCATTAATAATTCCACTAGACTGGCTAGAGTTCCCTTTGGTTTCTTTAATGAAGTATTTATTATTGAATAAGGGAAGCATTTACTGGTCACAGTCATCAGGGCCAAGACTCTGCTCTCAGACAGTGAGAAAGCTTCTTTTGTGTTCTGAAGCCTCCTGTGCTGTCTCTGGGATTAGTTTGCTCATGAAAGCACAGCATAACTCTTAAATAGATTCAGAGCACTCCATAATGTCTGTGAAGGAAGCCAAATGTCCTCCCTAGAATCACATGATGTAGTAGATGTCCTAAGTCAGAAATACTGAAGATAAATGAGATTATGGACCCAAAGGAAGTACATATTTTTTTAAATAATGCCTACCAGTTAGAGATTGGGAAAGTGAAAATGTTTCATTTCTTTGTACCTGTCCACTGGAGGAAAACAAAGGAGAACCCCAAACCAGAAATGCTTTGTATGTAATGCTGGGGATAACAAGTGTCTGTTTATTTCAAACAGTCATTACATATTTCTTTTGCACTTTCACTTAAAGATGCAAAGTAACTTAGATTTCTATAACTAGAGTCTCAAAGTAATTAAATATCTTTGTTGTGATTGTGCTCCTGAAATAAAAGGACTGAAGTAAACCTGGAGCTTATAGAGCTGTTTTGGGTTTTGATATTACTTTCTGATACTTAAACAGGAAAGAACAGATGATAATTTCCTATGAGCATGTCAGTGTCTTAGGTGCACTAAATCCTCACATTGTTGTTCATGGTGTGGTTTACTAGTCCTACCTATGTTTAATATTTTTCATAACCATTTAGTTTCCTTGAGTGCCAGTGGTTATTCAGCATTAAAGTTGCAACAAATGACCAGAATGCCATCTGCCATCGATATCCTCTCCTCCCTCCAAAACCAGTCCTCTGATAGGTACGTGATTCTGTGATACAAGAATATCCTCAATCTTTCCTCATTCTAGCAGGTTGGTCTGAATAACGAGTTGAAATAAATCTTGAGATAGTTCTGAGGTACCTATTGGTCTTCTTTCATGTAACAAGTCCCTTTTTGTAATGTGTATATGTTATTAATTTCATTGTTCGTGTTTTTTAAAATCACGTCTGTTCAGAGAACAAGAACAGTGATGAATTATATTGTTGTATTGCCCAACTGATTTGCTTATAATGGATATAAACCATTTTAGGAGAATCTTCTAGATGTTCTAGGAGAACAGGTTGGACCCCAGAACTTCGTATGAGGAAGGACCAGGTATTAGCTTGAAATTACTTACAGAGTCTACACAGGACTAAAATATTAGAGTTGGATTGGTCTGGGTTTTTTTTCTTTTGTGGTTTTTTTTTTGTTGTTTGTTTGTTTGTTTGTTTGTTTGTTTTTTGAGATTGCAGCATCCCACATCATTGAATTATATAATGTCACCACGTGTGACATGCTATATATGACAAAAGAGGGGACTGAACCAGAATCTCAGTGCCAAGTCCTCTGACAGATTGAAATCTGTCTGAATGTAGGTGCAATGGAAGGGAGAAAGTAGTTGTTCTCAGAATCCGAACGCGTGTGCTTTAAGTGATAAAAAACCCTCCAGAATTACTGATTTAATCAGTCTTGTACCATTCATTGACATCTAAATCCTAAGAGTCCTGTTTGTAGAAAACCAGTCTTTGAACCCAGTTTGTTTCTTGTATTAACTGTAGTAATGAGTGTGAAGGTGATTCACTGTTTCTACATACCTGAAGGTAATACAAATGCGATGAAATAGGGTTAAAAAGTATCCTGAGATTTGGTAAGCATTCATGCATTTTATCTGACTTGGGGCATTGAATCCATGGAAACATTGGCTTTTACACATCATTTTCTCATTCACAAAATTAAGTAATTACATCCTGGGAGAAATGCACTGGCATTGAATATACAGTATCCAGACTATGTCACTACAGGTAGCAGATTGAGTTTAACTAGCCATATGGATTGTAATTGTCTAAGTATGATTAATTCATAATGTTTGTTAATTTTATGCCTTATATTATGGTTTGTTACTATAATGTCAGTCTTTTCTCTCCTTTTTTGTTTCTTTTTAATCTAGGTTTTGATGAGAGCCCTCAAGGGATTTTAATCTTATTATGATACTCACTAATGATGTCCTTATATTCCTGGGTCTCATCAATAGCTTGTTCCCCTTGCTGGAAGTTTCACGGAAAAGGGTTCTGAAGTTAGAACAGATGGTGCATCAGTCCATTGCAGAATTCTGTTTTCAGACAGAGGAAAACTTTATATTGAAGGTGGAAATAATGGTTTTCTGCTTAGCTTATTGTAAATTCTAAATGGGGTGATTGAAGACTATAATGATCACTGTTGTTTGATGCCTGTGAGTTTCAACATCTGGCTAATGCCTTTACTAGCTGTAACAATCAGAAAAGGCACTGTAGGCTTTTCTGCTTCTTTCTCTTAAATAGATTATACCTTGTGTCTATATGTTTGTACATATACACACGCATACCTAAGTTTGATGTATGCATATGAAAGTGTGTGTATATACATATACTTTATATATGTAAATCATTGTCTGTATTAATATCTGATTTGCACAATACTGAATTGGAGTATTGCATAATAACACTTAGATGCCAACACCAGGCTTTCTGGTTTTATTACCTGAATTTCATTTTTACTTTAACAATTGGAATTACTTTAAATCCCCTCTTTATCTACTCTTGCCCACAGATTCAAGCCATTAACCCAAAGTAAATTAGCAAATATGGCTTTGCTTCTCATGTAGGGTCCAAGAAAAAGCACTAGTGAGACTGACAAATATGGCCTCTGTAAAGGAAGCTGAAGACCACTTTCTTGGACCTCATTGCCCCAACTTGTGTCATACTTGACTTTTCAGCAGGTAACTCACTAAATCACCAAAGTCACTAGTCTGTTCTGTCATTACATTATAATTGACTTGGTGGAATATTCTTAACAGGAATCATGATTGAGAAATAATGTTTTCACAGAGAAGTTAAAAAGTGATTTCTCTCTTTATGTTTTTTCTCTGCTTGGTTTTACTTCAATCTAGATAATGAAAACAGTTTATGAAGTTTCAGTTTAGAAATGCAGATGGTATTGTCTTAACATTAATCAGCTTGGCCCGTATTCTTGAAACAAATTGACGAAATGTCTAACAGCATTGTACTTTTGTTGTTTTGTTGGGGTTTTTTTAACAGTCTAGCTACATTCAAAAAACCCCTATGGAAACACTGAACTTCAGGCACATGCTGTGAATGCTTTGATTTCAGTGGAACCTTAATCACAGGCTTAAAATGTTATGCTGAATTTGGATTGAAACGCCTAAAAAAACCACTCAAACAACATCCTGCAGTCTGGTCAGTATTTATCTTTGTCATGAGTTTTTGCCCCTGAAGATGTGATGCTTTGTAGGTTTATGCCGCACTGGTCTAGACAATGAACTATTCAGACCAGGCTTCTAAAGTACCTGTTGATAAAAAGAGTGGTCAAAGCATTAAGCTTCTGATTAAAGCTATCAGAATCTGACACATTATTTATCCTTAGAGCCTCTATCATCTTCCTTGAAGAAAAGTTTGTAAAGCATATGCTGCTTATATAGGGAATTTGCAATTAGTTTTTAACTAATGACAAGTTTCAGTTCTGTAGTTGCATGACATTAAAACCTTCATTATTCTTTTTCTGTAGCTTTGTAATTTCAGAATTATCTTATAGTAGGACAAATGTGTACTTACGCAGAGTTTTATTTGTAATACAAATCTGAAGAGAATGGCTGTGATGTGTAGAAAAGGAAAGACAATCATAGAAAGCATTTGAAATAACTATATGGGAAGTTAAAATTATTATTCTATATTTCTTCATTCTTTTCAAATTGGCAGTGTATTTGTAACTAATACTGCCTAATGTCAGCCACAAGAGGGTATAAGGATATATGCAAGGGATTCATTTACATGATCAGCTGGAATAGGAGGATGCTGGCAGTAGCTTGGTGATCAAAGGACAATGCTGTTGACAAAATAAAAAATCAGTGATCACAGACAGGACTGTGATTCCTATTAGGTGGGGGGTTTTTATATTGTAAGTTGCAAGACATTTTGCTCTACACATCAATTTGTGGATTTAATTTCTGTATAATCAAGTTTTATATTGGACTGACACTTTTCTTTCTCTTATTTTCCTCACAGATGTAGTGAATTTCATAGCAACACCTACAAAATAAGGTTTGATGCATTAATTTCCTTTGCAGAGAAACAGTGATAGTGGCATCAAATGCCATTCATCAATAAAATAAAAACACTCTACTGATTCCAACATGGTAAGGTCCCTAAATGGACTTTCATGTGAGATATATGTGTTCCTGTAGTGATCACCAAGACATATAAAATATAAATTAGTGCACAGTAAAGCATCTGTGACTTGGTAAGTGGTCTTTCTGTTCTACGCTCCTCTACAGTGCTGGTTAGTTATGCCTTTGTGCCTTCCTCAGGCATCACTGGTTTTTCTCACATGGTGACTACAGTGACTGAGATAATTAACAGTTGCTAATGTTTCAAATTAAATTATATCAATTTCAGGGAATCCAAATTGGACTTGGAGCTTCTCAATGGGATGAAAAGTAATCAAAGAAGAAGAGTGTCAAAAGTACTGGAGGGATGACCAATGCTACAAAGAGGAATGATACAGCAGCCAGTGCTGTTGTGAGTAGCTAGACCAGCTGAATTTGTTACACAATTCTCAAAAGTGGGTTGAAATCCAGGGACATGCTGGACACATCCTGTTATCTGATGATCTAGTAACAGACCAGATGGGGAAAGAGAACAAGATATCAATTTGCAGCATGGTAGGGCCCTTAATAGGTCAAAGAGTATGAACACCTACTAACTGTTTCCCCTACCTCTTTCTTTACTTTTTTTTGCCACTGCTTCGTGACTAACACCTGAAAGGCTTATTGAGCCTTCTCCCCACCAGGCATACAACCCCCCTTCTGTCTGCAATCCTGGCTTGCTTATTTATGCTTCCAGTTATGGAAACTAAGCTATTTTATATTTTGCAGATACTTCCTGGAAAAAAAAAGAAAAAAAAAAAAGAGGTGCACGTAGTGAGTGTTTCTGTGGATTTTCGTTTGACCTACGATGAGAGAGCTCTAAGAATCAATTGAGGTCTGAGAGAAGCTGATCTCCATAGGACGTTCATCAATTCTGCTAAGCCACATCTTGCAATATGAGTGCAGAGACTCTCTGGTGGAAAGGTTTACTATATTGAGTCCTATTAACATGCATGGCAGTACTATATCTTAAGATCATAGCATTTTATTGAAATTGCAGTAGGGGTGTCTGCCTTATGTCAGGAAGATATAAGCATCAGGGTACATCAGTTCTGCCTTTCTTTCTCTGTATTTAAAACACATCTAGATCCTTTTTAGCTCAGCTCTTGGATAAATCCCAAGTGATATTTATAAAAAGAGAGTTCCTGCAAAGAGCAGGGCTGGGCAGTAACTGCTTTCAGGGGACTGTGTACACTACATGATAATATAAGTTAGGAACATCTGAAAACATTGTGTCAACTCTAGCCCAACCTTGTCTAGAGAAATAAAGCAATTGTTTGAGAATTTCCATTTCTATATATCACCTCTTTCTGAAGTAGCTTAGTTTAAAATTCACAAGAAGACAATCCTTCTTTGTGCGTATTCCTTCTCCTTCCCTTAAATAAATGTTCCAGGATTGTTATTGGGGGTGGGGAATTCTTAATACAAATAGTGGTTCTTTTTACAGTTTTTAGTGCTATTGGGATGTTTGTAAAATATATCTGTCTGTGTCAGGTTATCAGTTATCTTTAATTTTAAAATCTTATGACTGTTAGTTCTCACAACTAGAAACACTTCTGACTATGACACTATCTTTGTGGTTGGAAATGCTGGAATGATCAGGTAAAATAAATTATATTTTCAAATACAATCTAGAACCACTTACTTTCCTTGCTTGGGCTTTTTAAAGGACATATTTCGGTAAAATAGTGTGTGTTGCAAGTTCAATACTTCGAAAGCATCAGCAGCATAACCTCAGAGGAGAACAACAGATTCTATGAATCACAGTGTGAACTCTAGGTAAGTTAAATAAAATTGGTGCATTATGCAAATGCCTTTGGTTTTTTTTTGGTTTTGGTTTGTTTTAGTTTTAGTGTTCGGTTTGTTTTTATTTTTGTTTGGGGTTTTTGTTTGGTTGGTTGGGATTTTTTAGTAGATTAGGTAAGTAAGGTGTAATGTTACCTGTAGTTTAATGTCTTATTTTATAGTTTATTTTTAGGGGATATCTTTTCGTTCTTTTTGTCTATGCATTTTCTTTGCATTTCATGTAGGCATCAATCCATGCTTTTTTGAATTTATTGTTCTTTTTATTGTTTCTTTTTTGTTTATTAAGGCAAACCCTCTTAAACAAATACCAGCAACAGAGAAATTCTGTTAGAATATATTTCAGGTATTGCAAGTTCAATGCTAACCTTCTAAATTAAATTTTTTAATGCTTCTTTTTCTACTTATATTTTCTGCACATGGAGTGATCACAAATCATGAACTTACTTGCAATTTATAGCCAGATAAAGAGAAAATGTAGCTATGGTCTGGCATTGTTCTTGTCATTAGGGGCTAAAGCTGCAGCATAAAAGCTATACCAACTTGAATTTAATGTCCTTATGAAGTGACATTAACTTTAAGAATGTGAATACAAGTGAACATTTGAGGTTTCTTCATCCTTCAGTGGAGGAGCTGGAAGTCTCTAAGATATCTTCAAGTAAAATAGGATAAATGAATGACTAACATATTACATGTCTATGGCTAAAGGGAATCAGTTTCCAAACTTCAGCTGAAAGGTTTGTTTTCAATAAGTGTAAAAAAACCCAAGTCTGCCACAATCCATGATATCCTGCAATAGATGGTGCTTGATGGAGATATTGACCACGGTCAACTGAATCAGTGAACTGTCGTGGATGATAGTGAGGTCAGTGAATTGTATTACTAGTACTTCTATGCAGTGCACACTTTACATCAGTTTCACAAATACCTTTAATAATATTGGCGTAATCAAAATAAATGTAATCATGGTCAGACTTTAATACATATACAAAACCGATACATATCATTCTATATAAGCAATTGTCCAATACATAGAGCAATCAAATTCATAGCTCAAAAATCTTCACTTTTATGGTGGATCTCAAAATGGGAATTCTTCTCTCTCTACATGTATGTTTGGTGTTTTCTGTGAGGTGCCTGTCATTTTAACAAAAGTGACATGCAGAGTAAAGTGGAAAGGTCCTGTTTCAACCTGGGAAGAGGGTGGGGCAGACAGATGAATTGTTCCGTATTTTCTATGAAATCTTAATTGATTAGACGATCACCTTTATTCACCATAGAAAGACTGTCTTTCTTTATGATGGATACAACAGCAGGAGAGCAAACTGTTGGAATTGATATACTTTGTTGCTTATCTGAAAGGAGATTTTTTGCCCTAATTTTGCACAATAGTAGAAACTTCCTTTAAATCCCATTTTCCTAACCAGCGCCTAGAATAGCTCTTGTTGTTAGATTCTAAGGACTCTATTGTGGCTTTTAAGCCAGAGCCCGCAGTAGGGGTTGTGGAAGGATGCACCGCCCCCAAGAAACTCCTAGAGGGTTTGTACTTGAGGACAAATCCGATGATAGAATTTAAAAATGGAACAGACCATTGTAGATCACCCAGTCCTCCTATCTGCCAGTGCAGGATTTTCCCTCCCAGATATTCTTAATGCATTGTTTGATGTAAAAGTCTAAACTCTGGGAGTTTCCAAAGCTTTGCTTGGAAAATTTTTGCCTCCTTTTTTCCCTCAGAAGTAGGAGGACACAGCAGCAGCCATGACCATGTCTTTTAATATATATCTGTGTGTACTTTGGACTGGCTTCTGCCTGCTGGCTGGTGTGAATAGGGGGCAGATGGATACGACATTTTGCTTTACAGTCTTCATATGACTTAAACATACCACGTGATCCCTGTGCCCTAGGAAGAGATTTGGAACTACCTTAAATCATCACCTGTCCTTTAATAAATGTCTCAGATTTTGTAAAGTGTGATCTAAAGTGTAATTGCTCAGTTCTGTAATGCAGTACAGTTAATTTGTGGTTCAGTCAGAAAATTTTGTCCTAATTTTCTGGGTGTTGATTACTCTCCCAACCAGTGAAATTGGCTTGAATGTTCCAGTGCATTTTGTTTACTGTTGAAAGGCTGATAAAACTCTCATGTATTACTTCTTTTTTTTGGAGAATAATAGAAGTGCATTCTTCAATCTTGGTAACTATTAATATATCAGTCTTCCAGAAGTATTTTGAAAGATTTCAATTATCAGATATTTCACAGCACTATTGTAGGTGCCATTGGAAAGCAGACACTGAGTTTTCAGAAGTAATTCAAGTCTGCAGTGTAGATGAAACCCCAGTCTGGCAGAAATTACCTTGGGTTTAACACTGTTACACATAAGCAATTCTATCAGATTTATAAATATCAACTCAGAGCTTGATGAATCCATGGGATAAACACGTTAACACTGAAGTATGTTGGCATTTGCATTTCAGGCAGTATCTATCAAGTCTCCAGTGTCTTTGGATTAATGTTATGAGTAGTGTAAATGGGACTCTGTTCCGTAAGGAGAAGTATGGGAAGTCAGTGTCAACAAAGTCTGCCGGTAGTGACTTTAATAGTCATAGAAAAACCCGAAGGTGCCATGAAGATTAAATTTCCATTGGTGTATTTGCCAGTGGTCTTTGAGAATCAGTATATGAAACAGTACGAAGTCTTTAATCCAAGTGATTGGAGCTTGATGTTCAGCAAATACAATTTAAAGGGGTTTTTTTTCCAGTTTCAAAGGGTGTTAAGCCCTACTTGTCTACATGTTCTTAAGTGGGGAAAATTTCTCTAACATGGAACTAGCAAAGAGAACTATGTAAGTAGAAGTGGTAGAAGCAGATGAAAATCCACTTAAAATGGAAAATGGGCCATTTCCTTGATCCCATGATATGCACTACACCTGAGAAATCATCAAGATGTTTTCATTGAGTGTGTATTTTGCAAGATATGCAGGACATAATTGTTCAGTTGATAAACCACTGTAGTGTTTTGTAGGAAAAAAATTGGTTTTACTTGGATTCTCTATGAGCCTTGTTCAAACAAACATTGCAGCTACTTAAGAACATACAGGTGACCATGGCGATGAGGTCTTGCTTGTTTTAGTGAAGTTCTGTCAGCACCAAGTAATGAAGGTATTTCAGTAAGACTTCCAGGAATTGAAATTAGCCATTTTTGAGCAGTATCTTTATCTACAGTATCCAGAGGTGACACTGTCTGTGTGAATACACTTGACTCAGACTGGAGCTAATAGATAAAATTACCAGATTAATCAAAGCATCAGGCTAGCTTGCTGCAAAAGCAATGTTTAATTTTAGATGCAAAGGTATTTTGTATTTTAAAGCTATAGACAGACTTAAGGTACGAAGGCCAGATCTCAATATCTGTAGTTCTTTGTCAGTTTAATTAGCTGTTGTCTGTCTTCCTAATAGTTTCAGAGTCTGATTTCATGTATTCCAGGTTGATTGCTTTGGCTCCTGAGAAGAACCACAGAAGAGTATCTCCACCAAAAGTCAAGT